TTTAGTTTAACTTGCAAAAACAATTATTAATTGGCATCCGTCGGATGTCAAAAGTTTGAATTAAAAAATAATAAAAGCTCGAACTCCGCACCGAGAACGGCTGATGATTAGTGAATGTACGGTGCACCTCCTCCCCCCCTTTCACCATCACATCGAACACACGATTTCACAACCACTCGGGGACCTGGTGGTGTTAATCTCTCTTTATTCTCATCGTATCGGTCTTTTGATCCTATCCTCGTTGAGTCCTTATCGGCATTAAGATTGATGGCATTCACTGTAAATAATAATACGAGCACGCCGTCGCGGGTTGAAAGCTAAGGGTATGGTGTCCTCGCCGCGCCACTCCGTCGCAACTATAATACCCCTCACGGTCTCTCCGAGTCCCCTGCATGTATCAAAGTCAAAGTGAATTATAATGAAATCAATGTAACTAGGAACGGTTTGTCAAAGCGAGTGTGCTTTGTTATGTATATAATCATATTTTCGAGGAACGTAACTGCGGCGTTGATATTTCACCACGGTCCACTGCTCACCGCATCTTTAATAATGATAACAATTTATGTTAATACATAGGTACTTCTAAATTTCGTCGTTGTGAAATCCGTTTCAACATTATAGTACAATAATCAGATAATAATATTAATAATATACTATAGGTATACACTCTCCCGAGTCCGGACTCGTTGTGGTCGAAGGTAATACGTCGTCAGATGGCGCAGCCGAATTTTGACATTTCGGTTTATCTGTTTATAAACAACCCAATTTGGTTAACTAGTAAATCGTTTCCAAATCATTGTGTATATACGTACATTATAATATGTATACAGTTGTTTGTAACCAAATTTTCGGTATCTCACTTCGGGGAAAACTTAAAAGCGTATCCCACTATCATAATAACAATAATAATACGTACCCTTATTGTATATAAAGCCCGACGACTGTAGGCGAATGATTTGTGTATTATTTACAAATAAAACAAACAAACAATAAAAATTATGATGCAAAAAAAGTTTTACTCTCTCAAACAATTCGTTTTTTTTTTTTGCTTTTCGAATCATGCATTAAAATCATTAAAAAAAAAAATAAAACCAAGTGAACGTTTTAAAAGTAATTCACGTATATTATTTTTTCAGTATTTCACTATTAAACGTCTATTTAAATACGAGTACGACCGCTTTCAGTTATTTCATTAAACAGACATGTGTATTTCGTAAAGCGTTTTCATGATTAAAAGTACCACGAGAAAACTAACTTATTAACACAGAATAAGTGAAAACTTATATCAATTCTTACGGTCTTATTTATGAAACATGGCGATATTGTTCTCTTAAAATTAAATTCCTCAACTTTCTACGTAGTACCAAATTTAATTATGTAAAATTTGTTTTAAATTATATTTGCAGGGTTCAAGAGAAAATAAAATAAAATCCTTAAAATAATTCAAGCATAATCCATGGAAGTACTGTTAGTCGATCTAAAAGTTAGCAGTTTTTCGAAGTCATTAATATTTAATATGTTTATCACACAACATGTACAATTTTTATATTGATTGTTCTGTACAATTTTACATATAATAACTATGTTACAATTGGGTACCTATTAGAAGTAAAAATGTAGTTATAAGTTATAACTCATAATTATTCAATATTTGTATATTATGTACCTACATAAAAAAATGTATATTGTTCTTATTGAGAACAATGGCATAATGGTTAGACTTTAACTGAAAGTAGTTTGACATCTCAAAAGTTCAACTATAGTTGTGACAAAAATGGTTTTATGAAATAAATTTTGTCAAAAAGGAAAGGACAGTATTTTCTAATGAATACATTGTATTAATTAACAATTTATAAGTTTGATTAAAATATTAAATGCAACACAAAAGTGAAATTAAACGAAAATTAGTTTGAAAACAGTTTAAATAAATAAGGTCGTTAGTATTTGAGTTAAAATTAAGGTGTAACCGATAACAATACCAAAGTAGTTACTATGTATGTATAACATTTTATAAATAAGTTTTTTTCCTCATTTTTCAATGAGAAGCAAATTACGTTAACCATTATACCCAAAAATGATACGAAATATATTAAACAGAGGCATGGCCACATGACGTCATCGGGTAGGCTTATCTTGTAACCACCTATTTCATGTTATGTAAAAGTAAGTTGCTCGCTTTGAACAATGACTTAAATGGCTATAGAAATAGATTTTGAGTTAATAAATACTATTTTTTTTATCACCTAATATGGTATAAATTGATTAGGCACATTTACGTTTCTATAACACAATAGTCAGGAAGGGCGTGCTCATGGGGGGGGGGTGAAGATGTCATTCCCCCCCCCCCCTTTCCGTCATATAAAAATAAAATATAACATGATAAAGCATTTATAGTATGTTTAGTGCTATAGATATAACGTGGTTTGAGAACAGTCAACAATTCATATCCATCCTTTTGAAAAAACTGAGCACGCCACTGATGGTGAGAATAAAAATATGTATTTGTAGGTACAGCGTGATAAGTTTTTTGATGTACCAAGTATTTGAAATACTTGAAGAGTAACTAAGTAAGTAATTATCTTAGTTAAACACGGTATATTAATATCGCAAATAGGTTTGGTTTGTATGTAGGTTAAGTACAGATAAAAATATAAATACTACCACGGTACATTTGATTTCTGATTTTATCGCTGTTTTCGAATAAAACTGATTTAATGCAGATAAGTAAAAATCATTATAGGTATAGGAGTTAAATGATGTGAGGTGAATCATTATCCACTCAGACGTACATGGTTAGGACATCGCGTGGCAGATGGGGTTTATTATTTTTTAATTTTCACATAAATTTCATCGAAGAGTTATATATTTTTTTTCCTAAGCTTGACTACAATAAAAGGATATTAAATCAAGGTTTGGAGAAACCAAGTCTTATGTCGTATGATCCCTTGTTATATTATGATATAATAGTTTAATATTTGAAAATTACCGATACATAAAACGAAGTTTACCTATTACCGTATTTAATATTTTGTTATATTCTGTATAATATTGTAATGCTTAAATGTAATACTCACTAACCTCATCAGCAAACTAGCAATGTTATTCGAACCCTAAGGTCGTATTTTATGCCTATGGTAATACATATAATTCTAGTTTATATCAACGGAAACTTTATTACTAAACGTATATAATACGAGTGTATTGTAATTAGTAATGTACGTTGCTCGTAATGATATTATTGTCAAACCTCGTTCGTGAAGTCGGTTATTCGTGTACCAGGGGCCTAGTGGCGGACTGGGAGAAAAAAACCGCCCGGGAAATCATAATTTTAGAGGCCCTCAGTATACTAATGACCCTTTATAATAATATATAATATATACTTTTTATTGTAAACACAATTTAGCTTTTAAATTTTAAATTTTTAAATATTTTAATCAATTGATATAAAACAAAATAAAATAACTATTGTAGATTTATTACCTAGTTGGAGTATATCTCAAGTAATCAGGGCCGGTTATAGGCGTAGGCGACGTAGGCACAAGCCTACGGCGGCAAAATTTATAACTATATAGAGGCGGCATATAAGAAAAAATCAAATATCTTATTTTTCACGTTTATTTTAGATTTTAACAAATTTCAAAATACAATATACAAACATATTGTGTAGATCGATAAAACTCCAAAACAATATTCAATAAAAATAATACAGATAATTTTTCCCTGAATTGCGATAACGTCTCAAAGCATGTTGTGCCATTACAATTTAATCGATAATAATTCTATTAGCGTTTTTGCAATTGGAGACTGTTGTGTGTCATTCACTCTCACTGTACAGTGTAGTGTACTAGTGTAGGTACATTCTTTATTGAGCTCAACAATATAATTTTTTTATAAATCAAGACATATACGATATACATCTATCAAGACTTCATTACACAATAGGTAAGTAATATAAATATAATATATTTTTAATTTACTGTTAATCATTATTGGTACCTATAGCGCGTAAATTATTCAATAGTATACGGTCGCCGTTATAGTGAAACTGCCGCCCGACAGTTCAATCATAATATTATGTAAAATGGTTAGGTTATGGTTTGACGGATGGCCGGAGGAGGCCAGGGAGAATAAGGCCCTCTATCGATGATAAATTAAGACTTTATTTAATAGAGTGTGGACCTCGTCAAATAAATATGGAAACATTTCCTATTAACACTAGTGGTAGATCATTTTCATCTTTTCACTATTTTCGACGTTTACCTAATGGTGAATGTATTAAACGTTCTTGGATAATTTATTCTAAATCAAGTGATTCTGTGTTTTGTTTTTGCTGCAAATTGTTTAATATTGGAGTAGTATCTCTTACAACCAATGGTAATAATGATTGAAAAAATATATCAAATATATTGAACAGACACGAGACGTCAAATTCTCATAAAAAGGCATATCAAAATTGGAAAGAATTAGAAACAAGGTGTAAACGTGGAAAAACTATCAATAATATCAATGAAGCTAATTTAAAAATTGAGACAGAACATTGGAAAAATGTACTTAAGCGAATTATAGAATTGATAAAAACACTTAGCAGTCAAAATTTGGCTTTTCGGGGAAAATCAGATAAACTTAATACTTCCAATAATGGTAACTTCTTAAAATTTATTGAATTTTTAAGTAAATTTGATCCAGTAATGAAAGAACACATAAGAAGAATATCATCTCAAGAAATTCATTGTCATTACTTAGGAAAAGACATCCAAAATGAAATAATTCAATTATTGACGAATAAAATAAGATCTCGCATCATAACTGCATTAAAAAATGCAAAATATTATTCAATCATTTTAGACTGTACACCAGATATAAATCATACAGAACAAATGACTGTCATAGTTAGATTCGTCTCAACTACTGAAAACGAAACCACAAGTAAAATAGAACACGTTTCTATAAATGAACACTTTATCGGTTTTATAGAATTATACAATACTACTGGCTTAAATATGACTGAAGTTATTCTTCAAAAACTGAGAGAATTAGATATTTCATTAGATGACATGAGAGGCCAAGGATACGACAATGGGGCTAATATGCGTGGATATAAAAATGGTGTTCAAGCTAGAATTCGAAATCTAAATTCAAGAGCTTTTTACGTGCCATGCAATGCACATTCTTTAAATTTGGTTTTGAACGATTCAGCAAATTGTTGCTTAGATGCAGTTTTATTTTTTGATATTATACAAGAAATGTATACATTTTTTTCAGCATCAACACAAAGATGGGATGTTTTTCGTAAATATGTTAAAAATCTTACTGTAAAACCATTAAGTGCAACTCGATGGTCTAGTAGAATAGACGCTATTCGACCAATTCGATTTCAAACTGCTGAAATTTATGATGCACTGGAAGAAATATCAGAAGACACTTCACTTACTGAGTGTAACTGGCGTTCGAAGTCGTTCTGAAGCTAAAGGTATAGCTGAAAAATTAATAAGTTTCAAATTTTTATGTAGTTTAGTAATTTGGTATGATTTATTATGCGAAATTAATGTCACTAGTAAACTATTACAATCTATATCATTAAATATTATCGAATCAATCAATCAGATAAACAATACCAAAATATTTTTACAAAAATATCGTAGTGATGAAAATTTTGAAAAAATACTTACACAAGCAAGTTACTTAGCAAATGAACTTGGTGTACAAGATAGTTTTTCGTTAAATCAATTTCGAACTCGACGTAGAAAAACTCATTTTGATTACGAATCTCGTGATACTCCTATAACAGATCCTAAACAGAATTTCAAAATAAATTTTTTTCATCAAATATTAGACAATATGCTCCAATCAATAAATGACCGATTTATTCAACTTGAAGACCATAGTAAATTATTTTCATTTCTTTATAATATTTCTAATGTCAATAATTATGAACATTTAATGAAGTGCTGTAAAGATCTTCAGCTAGCACTTTCTTCAAATGACGGTTTAAATTCTGATATAAATTCTGTCGAACTTTGTGAAGAAATAAATACATTACAAAAACATTTGCAAAATGAAAATGATCCAAAAGCAATTTTACAATTTATATGTGAAAACAAATTAATAGAATTATTTCCTAATGTATACGTAGCTCTAAGAATTTTATTTACATTACCAGTAACTGCAGCTTCAGCTGAAAGAAGCTTTTCAAAATTAAAAATTGTAAAGAACTACTTAAGATCACAAATTTCACAGGATCGTTTAGTTGGATTGGCAACAATTTCAATTGAAAATCAAATTGCGAATGATCTTGACATTGACGATTTAGTTAAAGATTTTGCGTCAGCAAAAGCAAGAAAAATACATTTTTAAAAATTATAACTAAATATTGTATTTCATAATAACTATTGTAATACCTTACAAACAATCCATGTACTATTAATTTAGTAATTTCTTTTTTATTATATAATAATTGACAAGTGTAAAAAGTTTTTAATTTTTTTGCTCCTACATAATATGACATTTATCTATGTAAGTTATAATAAAATAAGAGGCGGCAATTTTGATCTTTGCCTACATATAAAAAATTGCTTGCGCCGGCCCTGCAAGTAATGTTATGTATATAATTTAAACTACAATCAATTTAATTTTAAGGGGGCTGGAGCGTGATTCATTTTCGGCCGATAACTGGTGTGCGAATTCGTCAGTTTAAATCTCTATAATATTTGTTTTATTTCAACAAGATGTTTTCTGTTTACATACAATAGGGGAATAGAATTAGTTTGTCGATCACAGCATACCTGGTGGACTGACACCATGAAATTCATTACAATGTAAGCAAAATAAAAATAATACATGATAATTATTCCAATATAATGATTGATGGAACGATAGTTTGAGAATAGACACACGCAAGCAAGCAAGCGGTGGGTGTTACAATCAACAAATTAATGCGCCAAATAGCTCGCGAGGGGGTGGACTTACCTTATAGAATATATAATTTGGCTGTCCTGAAAAGGACATCTTTTTATGTGTATTCCGGGACTAGGGAATTCAATGTGGGCCCCCATTTGATTGAAAAGATTTCGGAATTAACTTGCATCCTTAGGTGGCGCTTCAGGATTTTAGTCTTCGACAGTTCTTTACTACGGTTCGAATCGCCAAGTGTCACTAAAATGATACACGGGGTTGATGGCGCATCGAGTATCCGCGCAGGAGTTCTGGTTAACCGTTCCCCGACGTCAAATATAACGAGAGGTTACCACCGTTAATACTCCCGTGTATACATATTTGTAAGCCCATGGCGATTCTCTACCGTGGAAAAGTACTGAAATACGACCATTTGTGGCGATACTCCAGGAGTTGCACACGGGTTCATACAGGTCGGTTATAGTTGTCTCTGGTTACGGGATCGATCGTTCTTCCGGTGTTCGTCGCCTGATGACTGAAAACTGTTGAGGTTTTGTTGAAATCGAGTTGGACCGGTAACGCTTTTCCTGAATTTTGACAGTTTGACTATTTTCCGTACCGACTAGTAAACGTTTCAAATATTCGGTTTTTCGGTGTGTTTACTATCGGGACGGCTTCGGCGGTATCTCAGTCATATTTTTGGTTATAACCATGGGGAAGGTACTGCCATCTTCATCATGACTTCCCCTATCCTTGGCCGTACTTGCTGTGCTCGTTTTATGAACGGAGATGCTTGTAATTCCTCCCTAAGCCCATGATACGATGTGTTGCGTTCGTTCTGAGCTGTGATTGGTTGTTATAGACATATTATGCTGATTGTTATGCTTTTAAGTATGTTACGGATTGTCCCGTTACACATTGATATAGAATATGAAAAATGTGCGACAGTTAAGATCCAACCACTAAACGTAGAATCAAACCCTACCCATAAACATGGGTAGACCAACAATTTTAAAACTACTTTCAATAAACTTCCACCCTATAGTAGAGGAAAAAGCCTGGCATAGTTCACGGCTAAGCCATCCCTACAAAGCAAAGCAACAGTTAAGGAGCCTCTCCACCACGTCTTTTTTTGTCAAAAAGTTACTGTTTCTAATTCCAACGATACGTGTTGAAAATTATCATGATTTTCATTCTGAAAAAATATTCGGATTGTCCGTAATATATACAAGGGATGATCGAGCCTCATTTTTAATTTTTGTTATTTAAATTGCAATAAATATTGTAAAAAACTCAAAAAAATTCAGAATTTTCAACTTAAATATTTAATTAACTGAACACAATTTTAAAAATGTGCCTCGATTGATCAATCGTACATGTTGTGGAAAAAAATAATATCTTGTCAGAATGTAAATCGAGGTAATCGTTGTGACCTATTGTTGGAATTAGAATCGTATGTTGGAGTGAAAAATAAACATAATTTTTTCTCGATCACAATATTACATACTGACATGTGCGTGCCGCTACGATTGACCCACATGGACGCCACATACACTAATAATAATTTACGACTAAAACATAGATCTCAGGTGGTGACAACAAAATTAAAAATTGCCTAAATGATTCTCCTTGAATCAATGCTATATAGAGGCCCCTTGAAGCATAGACAATTTAGAGGTGAATTCAAATCTGCTTTCAAAATTTAACCTGCTAATTTTATAAAGTAATATTTGGTGACTTGTGCCTGCTCGTAGATAAAATTACATATCCGTCACAGTGAAGCCCCTATACAACATGATCGGTACCTACTATGAATTACACACACTAATATATACTTTCAACATAATATTATTCACAAGACCCAGGCATATAAGCTGAAAAATAAAATGCCTAGGTTTTAACCCTTAGAATGGATTACGCTCCAGCCCCCTTAATAATATTACACATCTACTTATTAGATATTATTTTCATTTATAATTTCACAATAATAATATTAATAAATATATATTTTATACGAGCAGTGGTCCACCGGGAAATTTCCCGGTATCCCGGTCGTCCAGTCCGCCACTGAGTGCCCGAAGTCGTATTTTATGCCTATAATAATATATCTAATTCTAATTTATAGCAACGGAAACTTTTAACTAAACGTATATAATACGAGTGCATTGTAATTTGTAATGTACGTTTGCACGTAATAATATTATTGTCAATTCGTGTACCAGAGCCCCCATGTACCTATATGTTTGCAGTACAGATACATCACCGAACTGCTGTGAATAATAATAAGTACCTACATTGAACCTTCGACGACTACGGGTTATATTGTTATTTTTTTATTTACCCGTATTATATTATTATAATATAGGACCCGGTGGAAATAAGCAGTACACGCGTATTACGCACGATGATTGAGCGAACGATGGGCACAGAGTGAATCGTCCGACGTCACTGTTTGTTATAGACGATATTATAATGTTCATAATATGGGCTCGATAATATAGTTTTCGACGAGGCCGTGGTTGAGAGGGTGGCGGTGTATAAGCGCACACGTGATTCGCTGAACGATGCATATTATAGTAATAATAATATATGTGGTACCCTGAAAACGATTTCAGCACGGCGGTTAAGAGGATTTCGTTCGGTCGACTTTCATTAAACTCGGGGGCGTGTGCCATGTGTAGTTTTATATCATTAAAATAATCAGTCGGTGCAAGACGCGAGCGGTGATTAGACGTGATAACATGCTAGCGGAAAACCGGATTTAAGGCGGCGTGGAAAACTTATTCAGCTGTTGGGAGGGAATGAGATTCGACGTCGTGGAAAACGGAGAAACTGTATAATAATAATATGTAGGTTAAGGTACGCCGCAAAGCAGTAATAATAATATAATATTATTACATAGGTATCTGCGATCGATATTTTCCTCGAGACGTTGACGCGGACGGTTACGATGTCGGACTGCGACGGATAAGGTAATATAGGTATCTACCTAGAGTATACCTATATAGTTTGGTCATAAAAGTATATATTATAATCTCATCTGGGTATCATCCCTCTCGCAACCACCATCCCTCGTCACCGTCACTACACCCCTAGCCGGTGTACCACGGCCGACCGGACGTCCGACTGTATTCTCTTTCTTCCCCGAAAATTCAGTCTGACCTTATAATACTATCGAATCACCGTTTTCGCCGAATAATAATGTACCTCGCATATGTATATATTGTTGTATGTTTTCACTTTTCAATAATATAATATTGTACATATATTATATAAGTATATAATAATATATTGTACGGTAATACACTACTACGGCGGTCGCATGGACGTGACGGATTGATGGACATGGATGAAGGGGAAAAATCGTTTTCCGTTTTCGCGAACGAATATAGGTACGATGTTATCTGGTTTTAAACTGAATTGACGAGAAAGTTCCGGGCTCGATTCGTTGGGTAAGCGTATACTCGTGTTTATTGTTTAGATTTCGAATATAAATAACGCTCGTCTTATCGTAATGCCCCTCTTCTATATGCGTACTATTATTCTGATTGGTTTCGTTTTCGGCTTTTGTCGTACTTCGACGTGACATATTCGATCTAAGATCGTTGTAGTACGATAGTATATTATTATATTATATTGGGCGAGTAGGTACTTCTTACGCACGTTGGTGATGCACTGTATTTTATACAAGGACTTATGTCAAGAGAGGCCTATGAAAGATGTCACTGAATACAAACTTTTCAGAAAAAAATAAATTGTATAATACCATAACCATATATGTACCTAAATACGCATAAGACTACGAATCATCAAAATTAAAACGGAAATTATTTTATGATTTAATATAATTAGTAATAATATGTCATAATGAAATTAAAAGTTAACTGTTTTTCTCAAAAGGTAATCCTGATAGCAGATGATTGACTAAAAATATGATTAGGTATAACATTGCAATAATATAATTCGTGATTACAATATTATTACAATGTTATTATAATATTATCATTACAAAATTCTATTTTGCTCTTACTAATGCTAACACAATTTACTTGAATATTTTACAAAACTTCAATGATTTACCTTTCTAAGCAGTTGCCTTAACTCTCAAAATTGTTCTAACACTACACTTACGATGTTAGTTGACGACATTGTAAAATTGTAACCAGTTATATTAAGTTTAATTTTAAAAAAATAAATCTTATTGATTTAAAATATTTTTGAATTAAAAATGAAAATAAAATAAAATAAATATTGTATTAATAATTGTTTGTTAATATTATAAATTAAGTTTCAGTATTGAAGCGATAGGTAAGTATCGGAAAACGGATAAAACTCTTTTATCACCAAAAATATAAAAATCTACATTTTCAGATCATTCAAAATAGTAACTGACAATTATTTTAATGCACTATTTTATTTTCTTAAAACATGATAATTTATTAAGTTAACTTATTACAAAGTCA